AGGCCACAGGGCCGGGACGAGGAGTGTCTGCTCCCGACACCACTGGGGTGGGGTGGGGCAGGATGAGCTGCACCTGCTGCAGCCAGGAAGGGCAGGGAAGGGAAGGGCTCGCCCGCTTCCAGTCCCAGGCTCCCTGCCCACAGCCCCTGCTCTGGCACAGTTCCCCCTCAGCACCCCCTTAGGGCAGACCCAGCGCTGGGCTGCTGCCCCCATCAGCCATGGCTGCTGCCCAGGTGGCTGGGGCACGGCCCGGCTGTGGCCCCGCAGGCTCCTGCAGCTCCCGGCCCTCCGGTCTCCAGCGGCTTCCCTCCGCCAGGTCCCCTCCTCTCCCAGGGCAGGCTCCCTCAGCCTTCAGCTTGCTGCGGACTTGGCTGCCACCCCTCCTGCCCCCACCAAACGCTGTGCCCCCTTCTCCCCACCAGGATGCGCTGAGAACGAAATGGGAAGACGGGTGGGAAAGCACTTTGGCAGTGACACGAGGGCACTTGCGGAAGTTCACAAGGACTGAAATTAAACACAACTGCAGGTGGGTATGTGGTGAGGGGTTAGGGCCCTACCACATCCCGCATGGGAGTGCCTGGTTGGAGCCCTTGCCCCACTCTGCGGCTGATTGGCACCCTGGCAGGCTGGCCTTGACAAAATACAAAATGTGAAAAAGGACTCTGGTGCTCAGAGGGGTTAAGAGGCCTCCGGCCAGCGCCGCAGCTCACTAGGCTAATCCTCCGCCTTGCGGCGCCGGCACACCGGGTTCTAGTCCCGGTCGGGGCGCCGGATTCTGTCCCGGTTGCTCCTCTTCCAGGCCAGCTCTCTGCTGTGGCCAGGGAGTGCAGTGGAGGATGGCCCAAGCCCTTGGGCCCTGCACCCCATGGGAGACCAGGAGAAGCCCCTGGCTCCTGGCTTCGGATCAGCGTGGTGCGCTGGCCATGGCGGCCATTGGAGGGTGAACCAACGGCAAAAGGTCATGGATGGCTCAAGTGCTTGGGCCCCTGCACCCACGTGGGAGACCCGGAAGAAGCTCCTGGCTCCTGGCTTCAGATCAGCGCAGCTCCAGCCATTACATCCAGTTGGGGAGTGAACCAGCAGATGGAAGACCTCTCTGTCTCTGTCTCTGTCTCTCTCTCTCTCTCTCTGTGCCCCTGTCTCTCTGTAACTCTGCCTTTCAAATAAATAAATACGTATTAAAAAAAAAAAAAGATACCCACATCCACATCCACGTGCCTGGGTTTGAGTCCCGAGGCCCTGCTCCTGACTCCAGCCTCCTGCTAGTGCAGCCCCTGGGAGGCAGTGATGAGGGCTCCAGTGCTTGGTTCCTGCCACCTGCCCGGGGCCCTGGACCGAGCTCCCAGCTCCAGGCTGGCCCAGGCTCTCCCTGCAGGCAGCTGGGGGAGTGAGCCAGAGGATGGGGACCATCTCTGCCTCTCTAAAAACAGAACAAAATGCAGCTATTTGGGGGCAAAAAAAAAAAAAAAAGCCATATGTCTTAGGGAACTTCAAAAAGTTCAAGGAAGGCCGGCGCCGCGGCTCACTAGGCTAATCCTCCACCTAGCGGCGCCGGCACACCGGGTTCTAGTCCCGGTCGGGGCGCCGGATTCTGTCCCGGTTGCCCCTCTTCCAGGCCAGCCCTCTGCTGTGGCCAGGGAGTGCAGTGGAGGATGGCCCAGGTGCTTGGGCCCTGCACCCCATGGGAGACCAGGAAAAGCACCTGGCTCCTGGCTCCTGCCATCGGATCAGCGCGGTGCGCCGGCTGCAGCGCGCCGACCGCGGCGGCCATTGGAGGGTGAACCAACGGCAAAGGAAGACCTTTCTCTCTGTCTCTCTCTCTCACTGTCCACTCTGCCTGT